GACATAGGGACCCCTTTTTCATCATTCTGCTTCATTCTATCTCTATTCTCCCACTCTGCAGAATCTGTTAGTTCAATCTCTAACGCATGATTTTTGCTTAGTCACTGGGTAAGTGGAGGTAGAGATTAAACAGCCTGTGATCTGGTTGAGTTGTTTCTGTAAAGTGACCTGAGATGACGTTTGTGGTGAATTGGCGCTATAGAAATAAACTGAAATGAACCGAACCACCTTTCAGCGTCCAGCTTGCATCAGGACTGGTTCTTTGTTGAGGTTGTTTGGTTGCTTTGTGTTTTCCTCCTGAGTTTGGGGGAAAGAATCAACTCTTCCTCTGGATCCAGCTGCTGTGATGTCCTGATGAAATCTTCTGGTTGGCAGTTTGTTGCTTTACTGCCTGTTCTGTGATTTCCCAACGCTGCGTTTCGTCTCCTTTGCTAAGTTATGGTTCCCCCCAGGTTGTTTTTTTTTTTCTTTTTTCTGGGTTAGGTTCAGACTCTCCCAAAAGGCTGAATAAGAGTTTATGCAGCTGAACGTCCAGCTGCAGTTGGCTGCCGGCACCCTGAACACACTGCTGCTATAAAAAGGACAGCTTTAGTTTAGTACCTTCAGGTTCAGATTAAGTATTAACTGATTATTTCCCATTTTATTAACAGACTCCAGCTTTTTTATACTAGTTAGGAACAGTAGATGAGGGAGAGGCCGACATAAACTAGACTTTAAACTTTTAAATCAATCCTCTGGACTTTGTTTCCAAGTTTGAAGACGTTTCTCTTCCATCCAGGAGGCTTTTTCAATCCAAAATGTCAGAAATAGCGTTTAGTTCCAGGTTTTATCCAGCAGCCCAACAAAGCCTGGTTTTAGTTTAGAAAACATGCAAATAGAAACAGATGAACGGGTCCCCCCCTTTGGACCTGTCTATGTCGTACCTGTCTATGTCTCTGAAAGGGGGGTCGTTAAAGGGAATAGTTGGCCTGGTTGAAAAGGAATAACCTTAAAGTCGTAGGGAATCAGCCGTTCCAACCGTTGCATTTCCGAATTCTCCCGATTGGTGCCCGACTTTACGCGAGTGAATAGAGTGAATGTGATTGGTCGATTATCAAGGGGGCGGGATTGTTGTGGCGGAAGGTTTATCCACACCTCATTATTGGATCCTTTTATTTAGTTTCCATGGATACAGAGATTTTGAATCTCCGATCTGCCAGGATTTAGATCGGATCGGGGCGATTTTACGCATGAAAACGTAGCTATTTAGGAAAACGACGAAAACGATAAATTCTCCTTATGTTTGGACTCTGAAAAAGACTTTTACGCTCACTCAGTAGTTTTTTGTCCTAATGTTCTGCAGAAGGATCATTTTCCCATCACATCAGAGCACGCTCCTTATCTACAGATTGTTGTCTCTGCTCTCTGCAGGAACGGGTTGCAGGAGACGTGACGAACATCCAGCTGGTGCAGCTCATCCCCAACACCGAGTACAACATCAGACTCTTCGCTTTACACGGAGAATCAACCAGCGACGCCCTGGAGGGTCAGGGGGTCACCTGTATGTAGGCCTGGTCCTCTGAACCAGCTCCTCTTTACTGGGGAACTGTTCCAGCTCCAGTTTCTATAGTTTGAGGTGCTGATCTCTGTCCTGTTGTCTCCCGTCAGTGCCGCTGCCCCCTGCTGGAGTGCTGAGGATCAGAGATGTGACCCACAGCACCATGATGCTCAACTGGGACGCTGCTCCTGGAGCGGTCCGCAAATACATCATCACCTACAAGCCTGAGGAAGGAGAACTGAAGGAGGTAAGGACCGTTCCGGATGGAGAACCCTCTCTGGTCCAAAACCAGTTTTAAGATGGCTGATGGCTCTCAGATTTCTCTCTCAAAGGCGATATAAACCGAACCTAAACTGGACTTCATGATTCTGCTTTCAGATTCTAGAATGTTCCGGGTCCAGAGAAATTACATTGT